ATATCAAGAAGGCTCCAAAAGTAACACTCCTTTTGACCTTACTGTTTGACCCAAATGGCACCTTTGTTAGATGGTTGATAAAATTCAGTACCTGAATTTCAATGACTTTGAATTTGGTTTTCCCCAAACATGAAATGGATCAAAAGGCCTGGAGTTGAAGTTTGAGTGTTGGCTGTTCATTTGGGCGGAACCAATCGAAGATAGAAGCATGGAGAAGTTGACTATTTGCTCTTTGTTGAGAGTTAGAAAGGACGAAGATATCAGCTCTGTGGCGAAATGCTTGTGGTGTATATTTTGGGATTGAGTCCCAGCGTGGCAGTTTAGTTATGACAATGCAGCTCTTTGCAAATGCAACACTCCAACCAAAAAGGAGCTACTTTGTCTGACTTGTCAGTCAGAGATCCTAACCAAAACAGAGCCTGGATTTCAAATCATTCCATGCCAACTCCTATGGCGTATCCTAATTATAATCTACTTTTCCCTGGGAAATGGGTGGTGTCTGAATTTCCTAACTAACCTTATACTAAATCGTTTATGACTTTTAACTAAACCACAATTAAAATATGTGGTGTAAGACAATTTTGCTGCGTGGACACTTTTTTAGAACCCAATATACTGGTATCCTCCCACAATTGAGTACTTGCATATTTGATTCCCATCGACTATCATCATATCTGCTATGTAAAAGTTCAGACTATAAGTCTCGAGGGATGTTCTAGTGATGAGAACATTAATCTCGTAGCAAAAAAAAAAAAAAACAAAAAAACTAAATCCATACTATGTATCTAATGTTTGGATTAGTAGTGGGTGATTTAGTAAAAAAATAAAAAATATTAGCACATATAGAGTTGTAAAAAATGTATTTACAAGGATATTGTGATGAAGAGGCAAAAATGTGCGGCTATGCGCATACTGAACGAAAGTAGGGTAGTTTAGCACAGCTCGCGAGCCGTCGCGCAATCTTAGCGAAATAAAAATGAATATTGCTAAGCTCGTGAGTCGTCGCGCTAGCTGAGAGAAATATAGTGCGAGCTGAGCAAAATACAAGGATCCACCTGCCAACCTACTCCCCTCTAATCCTCTTCTCCCTTTGTGACAATGAAAGGCGACGACGATGTCGAAGGCCACAATCTCTCGCTCTTCCGACCACGATTCCAGTGACGAAAAGGAAGGCGTCACCGGAGATCTATTTGGTGTCGCACACACCAAGAAATTATAGCGCAATGCCTTTCGAGTTGAGTTAAACTATCCTACTTTGACTTAGTATGCTCATGACCGCACATTTTTGCCTCCCCATCACAATACTATTGAAAATACTTTTTTTCAACTATATTTGTGGTGATATTTTTAAATTTTATAATATTTATGTAGATCACCCATTGCAAGTTTTGCTAGGATATCAATTCAATTAATATATTGGTGGTATCAATGTGAAATACTTAAGAACAGGGGCGGAGGGAGAGGATAATAGGGTGGGTCCAAGGATGCACCTTACCTCGAGAAAAATATGATTAAATTAGGTAAAACAATTAATTAATACTTAAAATTAGCGTGCATCTAATTGATAACAATTGATCGAAAGGCCTTTTGTTTCGAATCTTGGCGACATCATTTGTTAAGCACATGATATTCCGAATTGTGCAAACTTCAATTCTATATAAGTTGAATTTTTGACAAGGGGGTGTATTAAACTGGAATAAGATATATTATTGAACATAACCCAACAACTCGAGTTATTAATGCTATGGTTCTTGACAAAGAACACAATTCGGCAGTGGCTAAAGGGTCTCATTCGATAGCCGGAATTGTGGTTCGAGATACGGCAGGTGGCTGTCGTTCCTGTTCAATCTTTTCACTTTCCAAGCTTAATTGATATGTTTTTGGTTGAGTTGATGTCTTTTTAGGAGGAGATTCAATGGTGCTCCATGAAGGGACTAGTTGCGGTAGTGTTCCAAAAGGAGATGCCAAAGTAATGATGAACAAGGTTAAGAAGTCGGATATGCATGATGCCGGGGGTCGCTATCCTTGTCGACATAGAGCTTTTACGACGTGGTTTTCTTTCTTTTGATGTTTAGTTTATTGGCAGGCAGAGTAACCGATGGCTCATGTAGTCGCTAGGATGACACTTTCTTTCTTCCCTAACAGTGTTATGGGGATCGAATTATATAATTGGTTCAGTCCCTATCGCCTCTCTTCGTTTGGCCCCTCAGGCTGGGTCAATGGCTGATTCGGATCTTCGTCGCCCTCCTGCTGAACAGTGTGAAGAACAACAATGGCGATGGGCAGAGTTCCATGGAGGAGATGTGGACCAGATATGTAAGAGGCGTCCACAGTCATGCAGGCCGTCGCTTCCCGAGACGGGCGCCGCCGGTGATCAGCATGGGATCGGTTATTTGTGTACCGATCCGCAATCGTCTGATCCACACAAAGAGGCCAGGTAAACGGAAAAGGGCATCGTGTAGGGAGGCGGCCACTCCCCGGCAAAGCTCTTCCGTTCAAAAGGCCAGACCTGCGAAGAAAGTTAGGTTAGCTCCGCTCAGCGGTTGGCGTTTTTGGCTTCCTTCGTCGGAGTTGGTAGGCGATGACTCGCTATTATCCAAGTCCGGTGGGTCCATTATTTCAAGTGATAGCCCGCTTAAGGAGGAAGGTGAGTCGATCCGTGTCCGGTAGTTCAGGTTTCCGAGCCGACAGTCCTATGTTCGATCGCTCGTCCGACTTACCGACCTGAATGTGAGACCCCGGAGTGGCGACGTGATATCTTCACCGGTGAGACCCTATGGCCGCCGTCAGTGAAGGTGCCTTCGTGGACCCGTGTGGCGATGGGGCACCGAGTGGTAACGGTGGGATCGCAGCCTATCCCGATTTTTGCGGGTTGTTTGAAGAATATTGTTTTTGATACTATGTACCGGAGGAAAATCAGTCCCTCGTATCCTAACAGGCTTGGGAGTCCTACTCTTGCTAAACGTCCTATTCAAGTTAACCTCTTCCATCGGGGCGGTGCACTTGATCAGGGGATAGGATTTGTATTTAAAGCCTGGGTGGCAGAGAGAAAAACTTATCCCATATACCAAGTTTGCGGAAATAATCCCTCGATACCCTCGTCTCTTAGTATTGCAGCTGGAGAGAGCTCAGGTAAAGGGACTATCTTCGACCCTCAAGCTCCTGTTTTTGATCCGCAAGCTCCTGTTACGCAGCCTCTTTCTTCCGTGGGATCGAACCCTTTCGTCCCGGCGGAAGGGCTGCTAGGGGGTGGTGCGCCTATTGTTAACTCAGCTTACTCTTCTCCTTGGCAGGTTCCGAGCACGATGACTCACGTAGCTGAAGAACAAGTTGTCAAATTCTCCCTTGAGGAGGTCCAGTCAACTAGATTCCGGGCATCTCGCACGCTGTTGGGAAGAGTTTTCACCAATGATCAGATATTGACAAATGGAGCTGCGCGAGGGTTTGCTGTCGGCCTGGCAGTTGCGCGGCCATCTCAAAGTCTCGAGTACCAAATATGGTCTTTTTGAGATTGTGATGCCGAATGAGGAAGCAAAAAAATGGGTGTTGGCTCGTACCCCTTGGGTCATCACGGACAAGCTGATCACTCTTCGTTCCTGGTCCCCAATGATCACCAGGAATCAGTTTGAGAAGATGTCGTTGGCTCCTTTTCGGATCCAGCTCTGGGGCGTGCAGGAGGATTGTCAGACTAAACTATTTGGTTGAAAGCTCATTGCTTCGACTATGGGTCAGGTCCTTGACTCTAGCCTTTTTGCCTCGACTGAGACAGGCGAGCGCTTTATTAAAGTTCGAGATACTGTGGATTTTGCTAAGCCACTTCGGTCGCAATTGATGGCGGACAGTGAGGAAACCGGCAGGTTTTGGGTGAGCCTCAAATATGAGTTCCTGCCGAGTTTCTGTTTCCACTGCGGTCGAGTGGGCCATGTTCGACGTGACTGCACTTTTGACCCTCCTAAAGGGAAAGAAGATTGGGCCCTCATATGATGACTAAGAAGTTGGGTCGGCAAGTATATGATCAGGATGATGATGCAATGGCGGTGGGGGGATCGAGGAGTTCAGTATGGATTAATCGCCAACCTCGTGGTATGGTGGCTGGGAACTCGCGGAAGGCCATCAATGAAAATAACTCAAGTGGCCGAAATCGGCTTGCGGTCCCTGCCCAAATGAAGCACCAACAAATGCCGCCGACTGGTCAGGGTAGGGAGACTCGGTATCCGGGGGATTTGCCGGTGGAGAGTGACCTGCATCAGTCGCCGATGAGGCGCCAACAAAGCCCTAGGGGATTTGTTCTGAACAGGTCCCCCAAGATCAAGCTCGGCGGAGGCGGGAAGCAGAAACGGCGGACGCCAAAAAAGGCACCTACAAGTTCGCCGTCCCGAGGAAGAAAAAGAATGAGTGGAGCTCTCAACCCGAAGGAAAGAAGCCAGGGGTCGGCTCCACAGGCTGCCTCGATGCAGGCTCAGATCGTGGAAACATGCCGACGGCGCCGACTCATTCTTGAGGATAATTCTAATGACAACATGGTCATTTCGCCCCATCCGAAGGAGCTTTTGTCTCCGGATGTCCCACCGAGGGAGTTGCCTGCCCAGCAGGAGGCTACCCAGGAGCATAGGGAGGCGATTCCTGTTCTTGTTAACTCCAAGCTGGGGAAGCGCCGCCTGCGTCGCCGGGCCTCCAAGACTTCTTCGGCTGTCAAAATGGACGCCCAGGTTGAGGGGGATGGTGGGGAGGCTGGTCAGCTTTTGCGGAAGGGGGCTGGGGTTACTCGGAAGGGAAAGAAGGGAGCTATCACGAAAGGGGAGGGGAGCAATGCACGTGAGGGAAAGGATGTTGCCCCTAGTCCCATTGCATGCAATCAAGGTAGCTCGACTGGAGTGGCGGCGATTGTAGGGAAGAGGGATGGCGACATGGGGGCTGGTGGAAGCAACCTTCCTGATGAGGTCGGGGTAAAGGGGAAGGGTTCGGAATCCTAGAGAGGAAGTGAATCGGCGGACTCAGGGATGGAAGATGAGGCCCAATGTTTTGAAATTAAAAGACGAGTCCCAGGGGCTCCATCGGTGGATCATGGTCTGGGTTTGGGGGGTAAAGTCTCCCAGGTAGTAGCGGCCTTTGAGGCAGGGTTGACTATTGCCCAGAATAATGTGGATCCATCCATGGTCATCGGATGTGAGAATGGGTCTTCTGGCTCGAATGTTGGGTTGCACGAGGAGGGAGCCGAGTTGATTAATGAGTATGGGTCAAATTTGACTGAGCTGGTGGTTGATACCCGCAAACGCACTTTGGCTGTTGTGGAAGGTGAAGTGGGTTCTCCTCCTACGCCAAAGAAGCAATTTGTGGAACTTGCTGACGATCATGTTAAGGAGAAGGTGGAGGAAGCCAGCCTAGAGTGGCCCCAGGCGGATAAATGAGGCTCCTCGCTTGGAATGTGAGAGGGACTGGGCCATCCCTCACATTCCAAATTGCTGTAGGTTTAGTTCGTTCGAATAAACCGGATCTCGTGTTCTTTTCAGAAACTCGATCGAGCCGGCGTGTTGTTTCCCGTCGTGTGCGGGGTCTAGGCTTTGATATTTCCCATTGTTTTTTTGTGGATGCGGTTGATACGTCTGGTGGTCTTGTAGTAGCTTGGTCCCCCGAAGTTAATGCTTCCGTGTTTTATCATTCCAACTCTTGTATTTGCGTCCAGATTAATGAAGAGGATTTTTCTTATATTGTGATTTGTGTTTATATTAGTTGCATTTCTGTTGTTCAAACGTCCCAATTGGCTCACCTTCGGGAACTTTGTTCCACGATTACTCTGCCTTATGTGGTCATCGGCAATTTTAACGCTACCCTCCATATGGATGAAAAAGATGGTGGTAATCCTTGGAATGCAGCCCAGTCTATTAGCCTGCGCGAGTTTATCCATGACCTTGGGCTCCATGATCTTGGTTTCCTTGGGGATCCATTCACATGGAATAATAGGAGGATGGGAGAGGCTTGTATTCGGGAAAGACTCGATAGGGCTCTTTGTTCCCAGTCTTGGGTTGATCGGTTCCCAGATACCTTTGTGAAACACTTCACGGATCAGGGTTCTGATCACCGTGCTCTCCTTCTCTTGGATAAACCCTACGTGCGTAATAGTCGCCCTCTCTTTAGATTTGATGCTAGGTGGGCGGATAATCCAGAGGTGAGAGCTATGGTTTGCTATGTTTGGAAGGAGGATATTCAGGGGACTCCCATGTTCTGTCTTTGAGAGCGCCTCAAGTGTCTCCGCCATCTACTTTATGATTGGAGTAGGGCTGGAACTACAAACTCCTTGCGGAATATCAAGACTCTCCAAAGTGAAATTGATAGGGTTAAACTTATCCAGCCCATTAATTGGGATGAGGTCCGAAATCTGGAGAAGGAATTAAATCGTCAGTGGGAGGTGGAGGAGGAATACTGGCAACAGAAGTCTAGGGTTCACTGGTTGAAAAAGGGTGATCAAAATACGGTCTATTTTCACACAGTGACCCGAACTCGTCGGAAAAGAAATTATGTGGAGGGCCTTCGTAGTGAGACAGGCGAGTGGATTACGGAGGAGACTGGAAAGGCAAACATTGCGACATCATTTTATCAGAATCTCTTCACGACGGAGAACCAGGTAGCTAACATGGCTGAGCATGTGGAAGGATTGCCTATTGCTCGTAATGTTTCCCCTGAGATGAATGCTAGCTGACTCGCCTCTACTGTCACCCCAGGAATTGGCCAAGTGTAACCACTTCCTAAAGCGTAGTATAGCGGGTTTAGGTTTAATTATCAACCCGGGTCCTAGATTTGCTGACTACTCAGTGAGTTCTTGTTATCTAGCAATAAAACTGGAATGCAAGTCTAAACTAACAAACTAACAAAGCAGGTAAACGGTTGTATTCAGGTTAAAGAGGTCACCCGGATATGGTTCCCCCTAGACTGCAGTTAAGCCGGATTGTAATTACCAAGTTCAGTTTCTATGACAGTTATACTGCGGAAGGTTCTTAAACAGTCTGAAGTCTCGACTAAAGGTCTTCAGACCCTCTCAATCTGACTCTCTAGCGGGCGACTAATCTCCACCGGAGTCGACAGATTGAGGCCCTAAGAACAAAACCTCCACTACCGGAGTAAATCCGGTACAGAATAGTGAGTTGGCTCCTCGACTAAAGTCACCAACTCCCTACCTTCAATCAAGGATACTCTATTAACCTAGGCAGATATTCTCATTCTAGGTTAAAGCAGAAACAACAGGAATTTGATCAGGATTCAAGTCATTCAATCATCAAAACCTCAATCGAATATAATCAATCACAGAATCAGTACTTGGGTTCATACAATCAAAGCCTAACATACAAATCTAGGGTTCTCCATACCCAGATGAATGGGAGAACTACTCCATAGAGAAGAAAGCAAAAGCAGAATCAGACACGGAATTCATACTGCGAAGGATGGATTCCTGCTTCTGGACGTTGATTGGCACTTCTCCAAGCTCAAGCTGGCCTCCAATGGTGTTGAAGATCAATCTAGGGCACTTGGGAACTCTTGCTCGTCACTTTCTCTCTCTAGGAACTGATCTCTCTCTCAAAAACTCGAATCCCCCCGAATTGTGGCTGAAATTCTGCTTAAAAGGAGAAAATCCCGACTCGCACGGCCAGGGTGCACGGCCGTGCACATCACCATTCTGGCCGTGCACCTCAAAACGCGGCGTATCAATTAGTTGAACCTCAGCCAACTCGCACGGCCAGAATTGTATGTTGCACGGCCGTGCGTGGCCACGCACAATCCCGTGCGTGCCCACGCACAATCCCGCACGGCCAAACTGGTCACTTGCACGGCCGTGCGTGGCCACGCTGGTCTGCCCGTGCAGCTTGCTCAGCCTCTGTTTAATGCTTCGTTTCTCCCTCGTCCGGACTCCGAATCAATCGCCGTTTGATCCCAGACGCTCGTAGTCTCGTCCTCTTTCGTTTCATAACAAGCTTGCATGATTCTTTGTCCATAAAGTGAGGTAGAAATCCATTCTTCTTCAGGTCATGCCCGAGTTTCTTCTCTCGAATCGTCAATTGATCTCTGATTGACTTGAAACTTGCGCCTATGCTTCACTTTATGTGCTAGGACCTGAAATGGGACAAAGGAACACAACCTAGCATAAAATAGGCCAAAGACGCAATAATTCAAGCTCAAACAATCAAGAAACAAAGGGGAAAACATGTGCAAATACCGAGTCATCAAATCCCCCCACACTTAACCGTTTGCTTGTCCCCAAGCAAACCTAACTCAAACCAATGCAACTCTCCAGACCTCTATAGCAACAAACAACCTAGATCGTAGGTAGAGGACTTCCTAGATCATTTAGCAGCTTACGAGGTCAACCGACGCACAAGTCATCTCATAGCTTCTTCGGTCAGTCGGCATCATGGCAAACAGTGAACAGAGGACAAATAAATTGTGGATGAAGAGATTCTCAAAAACAAAAGATCAAGGACTCACATTTTTCAAAGTGCTCGATTTTCTTTGAAGATGGTTGGAACCCCTTTTTTCTGTTTTGCTTGTTTTCTGTTATTTTTCTTTTCTTTTTTTCTTTTCAAGGGTCCCAACCTGCTCTTACCGGCCATGCCAGGAGCGAATGTCTCGAGCCTCGTGCGGGGGAAAGACATGTAAGGGGGCTGGAGGTAGTAGGTGGAAATTGGGAACGGATTCCCGTCTCCCCTTACACACTTTCGCCCTATTCGCACGGGAGACGTTTATTTTGAAGCACATTATCGAGCACCTGTAATTTTCAAAACATGACACAAGAGTCCATGACAGGCAGAGAATCCACAACACCACACAATTCAAAGGGTCCTAAGATCACTAATTCACTCAATCAACCAACACAATATGAAGAAGAAATGAGACTTCTTAAATGCATCAACATCCTCCATAGTGCTACACTACCTCCCTAGGTTGCACATTACTATAAAGACTGTCAATTCAAAGCATACTGAGCAGGAAATTGCATGGAAACACGTACTTGGAGCCCTCAAATTTAAAAATTTGGACAGTGGACTAGGCTCCAAGCACACAAACAGATCTAATGCAGTCAAAAGATAAACATCCCCCCACACTTAAGCTCGACATTGCCCTCAATGGAGAAGAGGGAAGGATAAGGGAACGATGTTACCGGTATGCACGGACTGCAGGGGACTGGAAACGGGCCAGTCGGGGCAAGCACAGCCAAAGGGGAACAGAAGAGCTCAAACACGGTATGTTAGGTTCAATGGTCAGCCCAATAAAATATCATCCAAACTAAAAGAAAACAAACCAAACCCAAACCGGGTTACAATCCGACTCAAAACACAAGAAAGAAAATCAAACCGTGGTGGGGTTGCCTCCCCACAAGCGCTTCTTTACCGTCGTATTAGCTGGACGCCCATGGTGGATACTCAGGGCGGTGCAGGAACAGGTGCCTCCAAGAGCGGATCCACGTCGCTCTTGAGGTACAGCTTCAGGTTGTGGCCATGCACCCGACGGATGCGACCACCATCATCAGTCAGCTCGACCTGCCCATCTGGCAAGATGCAGGTGAGCGAGTACCCGGACGGCCAGGGTGGTCGTGGTGCAGGAGGTGGGACCAGCTCATAGTGGTCTCCACTCTTCTTCCGTACAGGCTTAGCAACCTGCTGCTTCGGCCGCCACTCCTCCTTGAGCTTTTTGTTCGGAGGTGAGGCTGGATGGAGTGGCGGCGAAGGAATAATAGGAGGGTCCTGCAAAATAGGAGGTGCAGAAGGATACACGACAGGCTCGTGTACCTGATCAGACATAGCATGCACAGGCGTGACATCAATCATAGCACAGTGATCAAACTCAGTCACAGAAAAAGTAGCCTGTTCATTCCCAGCACGCAAGATCAACTTACCATCATGCACATCAATTAGTGCCTTGGCGGTGGCAAGAAATGGCCTACCTAGAATCAAAGGCACATCCACATCCTCATGCACATCAAGAATAATAAAATCAACAGGATATGTGAATGTACCTACTTTAACAAGCAGATCCTCAATGATACCCTTAGGATGCACGATAGAACGATCAGCTAATTGAATGCTCATCCTAGTAGGGCTAAGTTCACCTAGGTCTAGCATTTTATACAACTTATATGGCATGACGTTAATGCTAGCGCCTAGGTCCGCCAAGGACTTTCCTACATGCATACTACCAATAGTAAGAGGGATAGTAAAACTCCCTGGATCCTTGCGCTTCTCGGGCAGCTTGTTCTGCAGGATAGCAGAACACTCCTCACTGAGCATCACTGTCGAGAGATCCCCAAGTTTCTTCTTGTTGGTGCAGATATCTTTCATGAACTTGGCATACTTGGGCATCTTCGACAGTGCCTCCATGAATGGTATGCTGATGTTGAGCTGCTTCAACATTGCCATGAACT